AGTTACTACTTAACAACTGCACTACACTTTACATTATGGCCGTTAGCTTAAGCACTGTCGCTCCTCCATGCACGTCTGGGCCTACCCTAGCCATACGGACAGTCTAGACGGTCTGTGCGGACACTTCAACTTCCATCCCGGAGACGAATTCAGAGACAGGACCGGGCATCAGCACCCTCTCTCATACCGTCCGTATGCCTTCCCGTATTCCTGGATGGTACGTGTTTTGTAGACGAACTTATTTGTCCTTGCGTGAAAGGAGCGGGGGATGCATAGACCTACATACGTACAAGTATTTGTGTGTGTGAGTGAGAGAGAGGGAGAGGGAGAGGGAGAGGAGAGGAGAGGGAGAGGTGGGGAACGAGAAGAGAGAGAGAGAGAGAGGAGAGTGGAAGTGAACCACATTCCTTGTAAAATCCTTTGCTTTATTTCAGACTTACGATCAAAAAAACAAACAATGCCTCAGATTAAGACAAACACCTTGCATGGACTGCCAAGAAGCAACAGTAGGTTTCAAATACGTTGTTGCTTTGAAAAAAAAAAAAAAAAAAAATTCTGGTTTACACAATGCGTGTTTTTAATATCATGATGTTACAGTGCAGGGCATGGGTTCAGAATTTCTTCCTTTCTCCATTGGTCTTCCTGTTTCTAATTCCCATTTTATGCCGTATAAACATCTCAAAATTTCCATTTTATTTTTTAGAGATTTTTAGCCCTCCTGTATTAACAAGCCTTCTATCCTTCATGATCTTTTAATCATCCTTAATATCTAATCCTTCTAATCTTACCGACTTACAACCTAATCGCAATCTTAACCTGGCTTTTCACCCCCCCCCCACCCCCACCCCCACCCCGCCTCCCTTCCAAACGCCGACCCATGCAGAGCGACCCGTGTCATGCAGACCAGGATGCGCGTGACGAGTACGCTGTCATGTGCGAAAGGTTTCTCTCGGACGCGGCAGTTGGCCAGACGGAGGTCCTCGCCCATCACATCGGTAAGAAAGTATTTTATAGCGCGCTTGCTTGCACAGTGAAGGTGAGTCACAGGCGGATGCGGATATGTACATACACACCCACACATACATATAATCACTCATATATGTGTGTGTATGTATATATATATATATAATATATATATATATATATATATATATATATATAAATGTGTGTGTGTGTGTGTGTGTGTGTGTGTGTGTGTGTGTGTGTGTGTGGTGTGTGTGTGCGCTTGTGTGTGTGTGTGTGCGTGCTAGATTATTTTCCATTGGATATCAATTTTAAACACTCCTGTCTAACAAAGCGAAACACAGGAAAATGCAAATAACTCAGCAACTTGCCAAAAATACTGAGCTTACCAGCATTTCTTTTTAACACTATTCCACGTTCCTGTAATTCTGTCTCCCACTGACTCACAGAAACGTGCATCTTTGACGTGTGTTTGATGAGCCAAGAAGGAGCTAACTTAACGACGGTCGAAGAGTGGCTCGAGGAACTGCGCCGCATTTTGAAGATGATTGTCGACGTAGAAAACGGATCGTTTGGTAGTTGGAATATCAAAGAAAATGGGATTTTGGGTGCGTAGACCGCCAGCATAGAAAATGGGAAATGGAAAGTGGAATCTCTGTAGGAAATGAGATTTTGGGTACGTAGAGCATAATTAGAAGATGAGTTTCTTGGTAGGTGGATTTTGGAGAAAGGGGAGCATCCAATAGAAATGCGATTTTTGGAAGGTGGAATCTCAACAAAGAAAATGGGTTAGGTAGGTGGAGCCAAGGTCTATATACTTATTTAGGCGTCGGTGGAGCCTCAGTGCTGAAAATACGTTTCATGGTAGAATGGTATTGGGTTGGCGGTACGTCATAAGGCCAAAAAGAAGAAAAATTAGTTCAGGGAACCCGACAGCATTTTTTGTCGAAGAAATGGGGACGCAAATGTTTTTATTTCTAAATACGCGTCTACCACAAATCTAAAACCCTGGTTTTTCAAAACTGCCACCAAAAACACCAGCCCTAGCGCCCCCACGGCTAGATCATGACTACCAAAGCACACTGAGCAAACCTAGGGACTGCATCACGTCTATTGGCACTGGAAGATGAGCGGTTATACTGCATAGGGCGAGCGTGCATCTGGATATCAAAATGACAGCCCTTTGAGGTTTTAAAATAATGAATAAGATTTGCATTTTGAATGTAAACTTGTTTTATTTTTCCAGTGTGATATATTGGTCTGGAAGACATGTGAGGTGGTGTTCATGAATAGGTTCTTTACATCACTTCTCAAAAATGAGAAAAAAAAGAAAGAAATATATATATATATCCGCCCACCTCCATAGGGAGTCTGTTACCTGAACCAATTTTTTTTTTTTTTTTTTTTTTTTTTACTTGGCCTTATAGAAAATCAGATTCTTAGTAGGTGGTGTATAAAATCAGATTTTGAATAAGGAGCGTCAGATAGAAAATGTCACTCTGGGTTGGAGGAATTTCAACATAGAAAAAAGAACTTT